AGGAGGTTCATGTCTCCTTCCCCAGAGGAGAGAGGCCGGCTCTCTCATCCTACGTGCGGGGGCATCGTGACTCCGTACCGGTCACCGTTTCAGCTGCATTCCAAGAAGGCTCGGTCTAGTCAGTTGCCTCTAAGGGCCCCCAGTCAGAGGTGGCTGGAGGATGAACATGCCCTACCCACCGACAGAAGGCAGCAAATGGCCAGGTCTTACCCCTGGAAGCATCCTGGGGCAGCAGCATCGAAAGGGAAAGAAACCCCAGACCATCGCAGCACATTGCAGACAGGGAAGCAAAGCACAAGCTCCTCTTGTTCCACAGGTCCTCCAACACCAGTGGAAGATACCACCATGGAGACGGGCAGGAGTGAGGGTGCAGCAGGAAACCAGATTAACCCAGATCGCTGCACTCTGCCAGCAGGAGTGGATCTGACATCGCCACCTCCAGGAACCGCAATAATAGAGAAGACGCTCGCAACGACACTCGACATTTATAGGAGTGAGTTGAGAAAGCCCCTTACCAGTGTGAGCGGCACCGAAGGGACTGAAGAGACGCTGGAGCTGAACATGGAGAGGAAGGTTATCTCGGGACAAGGCTCCTGCCTGAGGCCAGGGGCACAGGCAGGTGAGGGCAGGGCAGATCTTCCTAGGACCCAATGCCACCAGGTTGCCCCAGAGGCACCAGGCTCTGAGCAGCTGACAAGATCCATCCTTGACTCTCTCATTGCTGGGCAGGCTGCGCACGACCGGCAGATCAAGCACCTGATGGAAATGTTGAGCAGCTCCCACCCCTTGGCAGACCATGTCTTAGTCTGCCAGCTGTGCCACAAGGCACATCCAGGAAAGATGAAGGGTCAGAAAACTCAGGAGGAGACACAAGTATCTGCTGAGCTGCATGGTCTTCGAGACATCACGGCTCCACATGGGTTCATTGGAACTGTGAATTCAAAGCTCTCCAGGGACCAGCCACCAGTCAGAGTCTGGAAGAAGTGCAATAAGGTTGGACAGAAGAGACCAGCTGGCTCTGCAGGTGCTGACTTGCCCAGAATTCCACAGCAATGGACTCCAGGAGACTCCTCAGCATCATCCAACCACAACAAGATGCCAGTGGTGTGGCTCCTTCCAGAAGATGGGCGCAAGAAGCAGGATGGAATGGGGAAAATGGCCCCCACCAAGCAACCAAAGATGGTGTCCATTGTTCGAAGTACAACAGGGCTTTCGCAAGCTGGGGAGAAAGCAACTGGGAGTCCTGACGGTTCTCCTCCAAAGCCAGCAAAGGCCTCCAGAGCTAGGACACCATCCCCTTCAAGGAGCAAAGATCCAGTTCTCAAACGGATCTTAATGTGCCTCAAGAAAAACTTCTACAAGCTGCAAAACAAAGTGAAGTCCCAAATGTCCAAGGACTTTCGTTCAAGAAGACCTGATACTAAATTTACAAAGCCACCCTTTTGGAAGGCAAGGGCCTCCAAGGGTGTTTGATAGTAGTATAAAGCCCAACCATCAACCCCGCCCCTTGACCCCTTAATCCCCGACCACCTGTCACCGGAAGTCCCACCCATGGGGGGTATTACTTCCTGGATCAAGGCGGGCACATGACCGGAAGCAAAGTGTGTCATGTCACCCCTATAAGAACTCCTCCCACTGCCCTCTACCAATCAGAATGGGTTTCGCCCGCGTAGGCCTGCCCCGAGAGGAGATTTGACCAATATGGGGGAGTTCCAGGGTGGGGTGACCCATCCGGAAGGGGTTCATGTGACCCCTCTAAGAACTCCTCCCACCTCCCTCTGCCAATCAGGAGGGGTTTCAGCCACATAGGACTGCCCCAAGAGCAGATTTGACCAATCGGGGGTGTCCTGGGGCGGGGTGACCCATCCGGAAGTGGATAATGTGACCTCTCTAAAAACTCCTCCCACTGCCCTCTACCAATCGCAATGGGTTTCGGTCGTATAGGACTGCCCCGAGAGCAGATTTGACCAATCGGGGGTGTTCTAGGGCGGGGTGACCCACCCAGAAGAGCGTCGTGTGACCCCTCTAAAAACTCCTCCCAGCGCCCTCTGCCAATCAGAGTGCAGCACCATCACCCCATAAGTCCCAGCGCCGGGGCAGAAGGGGCCATCTTTTATCAGGAACGTGTGCTTTAGAAATCGTAGAAACATGGACTCCCGTGAGAACTTCGGACTTTGTTTTAGCCCCGAGGGTCTTTGACCATCCGCGGAGAAAGCGCTACATCAGCGACAGTTCTGAGGAGGAGGAGGGAGCGACCGAGGAAGGCCCTTTGGCTCAGCCGTTGACGGATATGCCAGAACCTGAAACCCAACTGCTTGTGAGACACCCCGATGAGCGTGGTGGCCTCTTGTCGTCAACCCCCCTGGAGGAGGAAGGTGAACACAGCTCGTGGGAGTCACCGGAGGACGAGGTGAATGGAAAAGACGTCGCTCAGGTAAATGAATTATTAAGGTTGATGATGGGGTGTAATGGGGGCGGGGTAGGGGGGGGGGGGGGGGGGGGGTTGTGTAAATTTAAAAACAAGCAGTGGGAATTTACACTGTTTCTTTTCTGAAAATCTCTCGACAGCTCGACGATGCCTTTCTAGAGGACCAGGAGGCGCTGGACAGCGTTCCATCAAGCAGCGAAGATGAACTGGGCCCACCTTGGTTTTGCTCAATGCCGATACAAATTGTTGAAGAGGACTCCGAGGATGACGGCTATGAGGAGTGTAGGAGGAGGCTTGGCATGGAACTAACTGAGCCAGTGCCACGTCGTGAGCGTAAAAAAGTCCTGCGGACTATTGTACGCGTTGCTGTTTATGCTGTCCTTAATCACTGCCTTAGGGAAAAGCTTTTTGAAGATTGTGAGGGGTGTGTCATAGATGCGCCAGCCCAACAGCACCATGATTGTGTGACTTGGACTTCAGTGGATATAAACTGCAAGCTCCGGGGCCTGTGTGCTGAGCTGTGTTTGGAAATCCTATTAAACACTGTTATTGCCATAGGTTATGCTATGCAATGTCTGTGCCTAACCCAAGAACATTTAGCGCAAGGGGTGACCTTGATAAAAGACAAGCCTCAAGACATTCATTGATATCTGCAAAGGACCCCCACTTGGAATGGGTACTGTAAGAGACCCTACAGAAAAATGTATTTGAACTAAAAGAAAAAAAAAAGAAAAGAAAAGCAGCCCAGTTGTGCAGACAACTTATTCCCCCACCCCAGATCACAAAAGGGAATGTTAGGGAGGCGTGATCCAATCAACCTGCTGACTATTTTGAAACAAAGAGTTAGGATGGTATAAAAACCTCAGGTAGCTTGGAGCCTGTCTCTTTCAACAGAAACGCTCTTGAATTGCTGCTGGACTGCAAGAGGAGGTATGCACCCTGTTTTTAACTCTGAAAATAGATATTATATAATGCCATTCTTTGGCCATGCTGTCTCAGTAAATAATGGTGCCTATCTTTATTGCAGTGTGATCTGTTTAGCATGGAACCAGGAACTTTAAGCTGCATTTCACCACCAGGCCAAGGTAAAAACCATTTTAACTATAGATGTGCTTAATACTGTTAATTAAAAAAAAAAAAACTTCAGGTATTACACAGGTTGTATAGGGATTTGGGGGTAATCCTAACTTAACATTTTTGCTTGTTCTTTAACCTGAAGGCCCAAACACACATTGGGGGTGGGGGTGGGGGACAGGACGGACAGAACAACCTTGTGCCTTTTAAATGCATGTGGGTTTATTGAAAAGTATTTGATTGCAAACTCTTGGTGTTTTTAAACTGCTGGTGTGTGTGTGTGTGTCTGAGTTTGTGTAAAACATAGGTGGGTTTTTAAAAGTATTTGGTTGCAAACCTGGTTTGGTGTGTTTTAAACTAACAAGGGTTTTTGTGCAAAATGTGTTTTAAAATGGATTTTAAAAGCAGTTTGGTTTTTATTTTGCAAAATGAGATGTCTTTTTAAAAAATGTTTGTGGGTTTGTTTTTTAAAGTGGTAGAAATAAACTCAAAACCTGTGTTTGTTGTACAGCCTGAAATGGATTATTTTGTTTTAAAGCTGTGACTTTTCAAATAGAAAAACACCCTTACGAATATTTTATTTTTTTAAGTTTACAAGACAGTTTCATGTGTTTTATTATAATGTTGTTTGCTTCACAGTACGGTCAAAACATGAGTGGGTAAACAAGCTCAAAAGAAAAAGGAAAGAGACAGCCAAAAAGGAAAATTCACCAGCATCAATGACTGATGGATGGATGAAGCCCAGTAAATATATTTTGCTTATTTGTTTGGTTGTTTCATGAGGTTTTGTATTTTAAGTAAATACATAGGTGTGGGTGAGAAAGATGGTAAAGTTCAGTTTCGTAAAATGTTTTTTCTCCCTCCTCATAGGCACAGGCAGCTTTCCTGGCAATGCTGTAGTCGAAGCTACAGGGACACCTCCACCAGAACCGCCAAAGAACCAGGAATCTGCTTTGAGACCTTTAGCAACGCTAACACAAAACAGCACAAGCAGGAGCGCCGCCAGCTTTTCTGCCACCCTAGGCAGCGGAAGGTCCCGTCCTGAAATGCCGCCCCCCCACAGAGGCGGCGGAAGGTCCCGCCGCTGAAATACCGCCGCGGTCGCCGCCCCCCGAATTGTAGCGCCCTAGGCGACCGCCTAGGTCACCTAATGGGTTGCGCCGGCCCTGAGCACGAGAGTGCAGATGAAGCATCAGGGCAGTCCAAGCCTCATATATGTCAAACCCAAGTACAAAACAAAAGACTCTGGTAAAGACCAACCACGCAAACACAACTCCAGTTCCTCAGTGGCCACCACCACACCAAGCCCTGAGAAAACTGAGCAAAAATGCTCACATTCACAAACCCAGAGCACGCGTTCTAGGGGTTGTGAACATGAGCAAAAACGCACACATTCACAAACCCGGAGCACGCGCTCTAGGGGTTGTGAATAAAAAACCAAGGACTGACAAACCATTCTCCCAACACCATAAGCTCGTCACAGCTCCCCCATATTCTAGTATTTGGGGAAAGTATGATGCTTCATTCAGAAAACTGATGAAGATTTGGGGAAAATATGAGGCTTTGTTCAGAATACTGGTGGCTGCTATATCCTCAGGGGTCTAAAAGAAAGGAGGGCTGGAAACCACGTCAAAAATGCAAAAGCTCTGGCAGGTGACTTTTTGAAAAATACTTCAGTTTTTCCAAAAGGGGGCTCTGAGCAGGCGTGACTAGCCGTGGAAAGGGGCCTGGGTAAAAAGGGCACCCTCAAGGGTACACATCAGCTCAGGTGTAAACAAAAGGGGGGACAGCTCTTGGTGGACAAACAAATGGCGGCCAAAAAGTTCCAGGCCAGGGTCTCAGTAAAAATTTAAAAAAAGGCTAAAGAGGTAATGAGGAAAAAAAACAAAAAGAGATGCCCCCTACTGGAGGCTCTCAAACTGACTTGTCTGAAAATGGGGAGGTGGAACCCGACTCTCACGCAGAGTCTGGTTTAGAAAATTCCCCAGAGGGCTCTCTAGAAGGTCCCCGTCTGCTCCTGATGACCCTCATGGAGGCCCCTCGGAGTCTGACTCTCAAATAGCATGTGATGTAGAAGATGCCGCTGACGGTCCCATAGAGGAACCCCCAAGTAACCCTGAAAATGCAGAGGTGTATATGGAGAGAGTGAGAAGTTGGCAACGTGAATTACCTAGATTTGGGGGGTCGGTGTATTGTGAGGAATTTCGTTTTGTTAATCCTGAGTGAAAAAATTCAGCTCAGCAGGTTGTTGAAGCCGTACACAGGGGAATACAGTTAGTTCTGGATGACGTTAATGGTGATTATGATGATTATGTTCAGTTACGTTTAGAGAGTCGAAATTTAACTAACCCTTTGTTTTCGGTCAGAAGAACTAGGGATGAGCTGTCTGCTGAGGATTTCTTAGCTCAGGCCTGAAAGCTGCTACAGAGCAATAGAGAGTTGCATCTCGATGGGACGTTGCGCCTCGTTGTGACAGTTGTAAAAAACAGGGGTGGGGGTGCTCGTAGAGTTTTAAATTCTATCCGTGGTAGTCAAATCATCCATAAAAAGAGACAATGCTTAGTAGACCTGATTTACACCGGTACCAATCTGTGTTTTGCGGGTGGGCTCTTGGCCGTTATGTCCGACTGTAAATCTACGGACGCGGAATTGTTAGCGGGGGCGAGAAAATTGCATGAGAAACTGGGGTGGTCAGATCAAAAAAAGGTTCTGCTCAGTGACGTAGCAACGTTTGAACAGCATTTAGGAGTCAATATACAGGTGGTGCTGTATGCGGCGAAAGGCAGATGGGGCTTTTTTAAAACGGGGGGCCCAGTGTACCCCAAGACTTTTTTCATCCTGTTGCACGATGAGCATTACTATGGGGTTCTGGATGTGAAAAAGTTGTTTGGTGTGAAAAATTATTATGAGTTTTGCCACATGGCGTACAGTCACGACCACTCTTGCAGGTATCGTTGCCGCCTCTGTTTGA